AACTACGAATTTCTTGTTTTCAACGCTTTCTAAAAAACAAATCATCGCTGTTCAAAACGCGCCGGTTAAAATTTTCTAGCAAAACTGTATGAGAAAAAAAATTAAAATCAGATACTACTAAAGCTGGAATACCGTCACTCAGCGACAAAAAAAATTTAAGAAATTACAACCAATCTGTTCATTTTTTGGATGTAATTACAGAAATAGCCCGAGAAAAACTTGGTCTAAAACTAGCTTATAAGATTGTTTTATGTGTTTTACAAAACTTTTGTATTTTTATGAAAAATCATTGAAGAAGTCGTAATTTGCTGTCGTTTTTTTTTCTGCTCAGATTATACTTCTTACTTTAAAAAACTATAAAATATATGCTTGTTAAAATTTTTGATCTATTTGTCGTTAGTCTGGAAAGCCTGGAATGAAACTCAACCGGAGTTTGTTACAGATTTTGAGACATTATTCTCAACAAACGAAGTAAGATAGAATTAACATATTTTTTGGTCATAGACAAGTTCAGGTCTATCTGTGAATCAAATGGAGATTTTTTGGGCAGTACTTAAGCTGGAAATTATTTAAATTTTTTTTTTTTGTACTTTTTTTACCTGAAAAAAATATTGTGACTTTATGATATTTGATGAATTAATTCTAAAATTTCACTCTAAAACTTTTTCAGAAGTGATTATTGGAAAATTGAATGAATGCGCTTCATTTAAAAGCTCGCAATGAGTGAGCTTTATATTGAACAAAAAACTACGAATTTCTTGTTTTCAACGCTTTCTAAAAAACAAATCATCGCTGTTCAAAACGCGCCGGTTAAAATTTTCTAGCAAAACTGTATGAGAAAAAAAATTAAAATCAGATACTACTAAAGCTGGAATACCGTCACTCAGCGACAAAAAAAATTTAAGAAATTACAACCAATCTGTTCATTTTTTGGATGTAATTACAGAAATAGCCCGAGAAAAACTTGGTCTAAAACTAGCTTATAAGATTGTTTTATGTGTTTTACAAAACTTTTGTATTTTTATGAAAAATCATTGAAGAAGTCGTAATTTGCTGTCGTTTTTTTTTCTGCTCAGATTATACTTCTTACTTTAAAAAACTATAAAATATATGCTTGTTAAAATTTTTGATCTATTTGTCGTTAGTCTGGAAAGCCTGGAATGAAACTCAACCGGAGTTTGTTACAGATTTTGAGACATTATTCTCAACAAACGAAGTAAGATAGAATTAACATATTTTTTGGTCATAGACAAGTTCAGGTCTATCTGTGAATCAAATGGAGATTTTTTGGGCAGTACTTAAGCTGGAAATTATTTAAATTTTTTTTTTTTGTACTTTTTTTACCTGAAAAAAATATTGTGACTTTATGATATTTGATGAATTAATTCTAAAATTTCACTCTAAAACTTTTTCAGAAGTGATTATTGGAAAATTGAATGAATGCGCTTCATTTAAAAGCTCGCAATGAGTGAGCTTTATATTGAACAAAAAACTACGAATTTCTTGTTTTCAACGCTTTCTAAAAAACAAATCATCGCTGTTCAAAACGCGCCGGTTAAAATTTTCTAGCAAAACTGTATGAGAAAAAAAATTAAAATCAGATACTACTAAAGCTTAAGTTCCGTCACTTAGCGGCAAAAAAAATTGAAAAACTTTAACCAATCCGTTCATTTTTTGAAACTAACATATCGAAATAGCACGAGAAAAAAACTTGGTCTCAAACTAGCTGAACTTTTGTATTGTTTAATTTTTGTATTTTTATGAAAAATCATTGAAAGATGCCGTTAGTTGCTCTCATTTTTTTTCTGCTCAGATTATACTTCTTACTAAACAAAATACTGTAAAAATATATGCTTGTTAAAATTTTTGATCTTTTTTGTCGTTGTTTTGAAAATCCTGGGCATAAATTTGTGACATGGTTAGCGAAAGTCGGGCCTTAGATCTAGAAAGACGCGCCGCATCCTGAGCAGACCCAAACTGCATAATCGCCGAGGGTCGCAAAAGTCAGGGCATACCAAAATTTGGTTGCAAAAGTCTGGTTACCAAGTCGCGAAAGTCTGAAAATTGCGTGTCCAGACCTTCGCAACTCTTGTCCAAACTTTCGCGACCAAGTTTTAGGATGTACAGTTTTTCGAAACTCACGGCGCGGCTTTTTGTTCAGACTTTCCAGACTCAGACTCTCGACGCGACTATGCAGTTTGGGTCTGGATCCAGATGCCTCTTGACTTTCAAAGTCTGGACATGCGCCTGGGATCTCGACTCGGGAATCGGCAGAAGTTTATGTATGCATATTATTCAGAGAAAGCTAAGCTGAAACTCAACCCGAATTTGTTAAATCTCAAAATTCGGTTGAACTGATTTCGATAGAGCCTTTATTAAGTTCTCTTTGTTTTTAACAGTCGATAGATCACAAGTTTTAGAGAATGCAAGCTGACTTTAATGAAATCAGCAGCGACATTAATCCAACAGCCAATGAAGCAAGTGAACCTAAATAAGTCAGTGAAATCTTATTGCATCTTTATTGACCTCCGCCGCATTTGATTTTATCACGACTTGACATACATTGTTTCGTTGTTTAGTGTGATAACTTATTTACTTATTGATGTTTAAATTTGTGACATGGTTAGCGAAAGTCGGGCCTTAGATCTAGAAAGACGCGCCGCATCCTGAGCAGACCCAAACTGCATAATCGCCGAGGGTCGCAAAAGTCAGGGCATACCAAAATTTGGTTGCAAAAGTCTGGTTACCAAGTCGCGAAAGTCTGAAAATTGCGTGTCCAGACCTTCGCAACTCTTGTCCAAACTTTCGCGACCAAGTTTTAGGATGTACAGTTTTTCGAAACTCACGGCGCGGCTTTTTGTTCAGACTTTCCAGACTCAGACTCTCGACGCGACTATGCAGTTTGGGTCTGGATCCAGATGCCTCTTGACTTTCAAAGTCTGGACATGCGCCTGGGATCTCGACTCGGGAATCGGCAGAAGTTTATGTATGCATATTATTCAGAGAAAGCTAAGCTGAAACTCAACCCGAATTTGTTAAATCTCAAAATTCGGTTGAACTGATTTCGATAGAGCCTTTATTAAGTTCTCTTTGTTTTTAACAGTCGATAGATCACAAGTTTTAGAGAATGCAAGCTGACTTTAATGAAATCAGCAGCGACATTAATCCAACAGCCAATGAAGCAAGTGAACCTAAATAAGTCAGTGAAATCTTATTGCATCTTTATTGACCTCCGCCGCATTTGATTTTATCACGACTTGACATACATTGTTTCGTTGTTTAGTGTGATAACTTATTTACTATAGTCACTCTAAAGGCGTAACAAATGATATTTTGGACTTGACACAGGTTCGATAAGTTCAATTTTTGCAGGAAACTCAAAATTTACAAATATATCTGTTTAAATTTTATCGACTGATTTTCTACAAAATTTAGAAATTTCGGATCTCTTAGCAACTTCCCCTCCCCTATGGTACCAAGTAAAGAATAACCATCTTATAAAAGATTAAATCAAGGGCTAAGCATAACCAATTTTTTTTTTACCTGGTAATCTTTCTCATTTGCAATAGGGAGAGGGGGATGGTTGGGGTCTTTTTATCAGGGCGTAGTTTAGCCCGAAGATGCATTTTGCATATTTGAGGAGATATATATTTGCATGTTGGTCATACCTTTCATTAGTGATTCGAACGACATTGAAAATTTGCAATGAGTTTTCTCAGTATTGAGAAAAACTGATTAAAAACTTTGAGCGAATAAAGCGATAAGCAGGCTCACAGCAGATTATTTATGATTAATTTAAGCCCTGAAATTTTAGCTTTAAGCAGGTTAAATTAGTCTTCTTATAAACTGGCGGGTAAGGTTCGAACAGAATTCAAACATCATTATTCCGATGGTTGAAAAAGGGGAGAAACTTTGAATTAGAGTTTAAAGTTTTGTTCCGGACATTGAAAATGGGGGGAATTTTGTATTCGGGTGTGTTTTAATTTTTTTCTCTTATTTTTCCACGCAAAATCAGGTACCACAAATAATCATCGGACTGGGTTGAGTGATATATCATATTAAAGCATTTTCAGTCATAATTCAAAATTAATTTAAAAATTTCCCATAATTTTTCTATAGTGTTGAGAAAAGCCGGTTGGAACTTTTTGATTTTTCGTCTAATTTCGAGCGACAAAAGCCAGCGAGCACGCCTATTTATCCTTAATTTATACGATTTACGGTTCACATTATCTTATTTATGCTTAAATTTATTTTTAGTCGGGTAAAAACAGTTATTAGAGACGTTTAATGCCATTTTGAAAGTCTTAATTTTCAAAAAATTCACAAAAATTTATGCAAAAAGAATTAACAAAAATTTTGAGTATTTTAAAATTTTGTTCGTTTTTTTTTGTTTTTCTTGTCATTTTTTTTCCAAATCTGTTGTCCTGTTCGCCTATATTACTATCAATGTCGAATAGGTCTAAATTAAAGTTATTCGTCGGATCGTTTTATTACACAACGCAGAAAAAACTGCACTAATTTGAAAAAAAATTCTTGTACTTTTTCAAAGACTATGGTGGAAGATCCTTGTAGATCCTTCTATCAGACCACGCAGAAAATCTACAATAATTTGAATTTTTTTTTTAGTTCAGTTAAGACTTATGGTCGGAACATGCTGTGCTAATAGCAGAATAACCGGCTATCCTTGGTTATTTCTTTTTTGTTTTCCACGCAAAACCAGCTCCATTTTGGGAATCAAAAATTCAAAACATTTCTGCAAGAAAAAATTTGATTTTTTTTTCATTCTCAAGCCATTTTTCTACAAAAACTGTTGTCAAATTTGCTTATTTTACTATGACTGTCGAATATGATTAAGTTTTAGTTTTTCGTTTAGTCTCTTTTATCACACCGCGCAAAAAAAGTATTTTGAAAAAAAAAATTGTACTTTTAAGAGTATGGTCGGAACATTCTATGCTACTTGCACAGTAAACGGCTATCCTTGTTTCGAATTGAAAACTTAATATTTCGAAAACTATTTTTGTAATTGGCAAAATAAAACCTTATCAAAAATATGGACAAATCAATATAGCTAACTAACTGCCAAGACGCAGTCAGCATCAACAGTAATTACAATTTGGTACATTCATCGAACTAAAGAAAATGATACATCTGCGAAAATAACATCAATTTTAGATCACAAATTGTAGATCGAAATTATCACCTGCTGAACAGAAATGAACAACAAGTCATCAATTAAGTTCCAGAATAGTTTTGTAAATGTTAGACTGAAACGTAGAGTAGTTTAGTATAGTTTAGCTTCTGGCGACTTAGCAGATTTCGTTCGTGCCCGATTGTAAGAACTTGAAGAACACGTCCGATTTGGCGAGGGTGAATTCGCATACTAGATGGATCGCTCTCACCACCCTCTCGCGTTTGTTCACTTCCATGACAGTGATGAAAATATTGTCCATGAAAGACTCTTCGCGACGCATTTCTGTCGCACACACCAGCGGCAAGTGTCGCCGGAAGGTCTTAAGCGATAGGTAGTTTGTAATAAGTGCTAGTTCTAGCTCAGAAAGTTCTAGAAGCTTCAATGTTTTGATTACACGACATTCGACTTTCAGCATTTCGTTCACGATTTTGGGAAAGCGAACATCGCTTTTGCACACGAAGTGATGAACTGGCAAGTTTAGCCCAAAGATGCTTCCGAACAGAATCGGTTTGAGAGCCTCGGGAGAAATGTTGTGACTCGTTACTAGCGGGCGAAACGACAGGTTTTTCGGGATGTAGGTTGAAAGTAGGAACTGACAATCAAATTCGAGCAAACTTATGTGAATATGTTTTGATTTGAATTGCTCGATTTGTTCTAGTAAACAGGGTAGCCAATTTTTGCGATACTCTTCGAATAACTCGACCCAGTTTTCAAGCCGGATGTTTTCGTCAGGTGTGAGTTTCGTCATGATGAGAGCAAGCGCGACTTCATCTTCGTGCTGAGTCGTCTTGAAGCGAGTCGTGAGGACTGGATCGTTGAAAATGTCTTCGGCAAATTGCGGCAATTCGGGGAAATAGTCTTTGTCAACATCCTAGAAACAAAAAACAATCAAAATACACTCGTAATTATCTTCAATACGAATTGAATCTGAAAGAATTTCCCTATGTTACAACCTACGTGGACCAAAGCTTAGTAGGTTTGTCTTATATTTTTGGCTGCTAGGAAAAGGCAGGCAGTGTTAAAAGGGTGCAATTATTTCTGTCTTTCAATTATTTTTTGATTTATATTTTCGATTAAGTTGCAGCCTATTACTGCCTCAAGTGCGTCAATGCAGATCCTTATGCGCATTTTAGAAAAAAGTGCAATTTACTATTAGAAATAAGCAATGCGATCAACAGAAACACCGGAAAGAAAACCCAAACCTCGTTTTGAAACTCTCTAACGCCCGCTATGACACTGTTAGTTTAATGTCCACGTCAATGGTCAAAGAATTTGTAGGTAAAAATATCGACATAATTATTTTGCGAATATTTGTTGTACCAGGGGCGGATTTGTTGCAACAGGGGCGGATTTGTTGTACCCCCTTTGTACTATTTTGAGTTTTGGCTGACCGACTAAAATTTTTCTAAAGGCGCCTTTGGCGCCAATATATACTAACATTGAGGGGGAGCACGCGCCGAGGAAATGAGATTTTTGGCCTGTCGTTTTTCAAAAAGTGTCCACAAACGACTTTTTTGACCTGTTTGTTCAAAAATTTGCCTGCGGCGCAGAAAATTTGACCAAAACGGCGTCTTTTTAGTGCTTTGAGAGAGCTCGGAAAATCGTTTTGGACTACCTAAAAAAAGGTCAAGGTCTACAAAATTTTTGAACATTTTTTGAAAATCTGCCCACCCCCATATCTGCTAATCACGGGCCTTTGCCTACCTTATTAATTAAAAAAATCAATTAGTTCTATAATTTGTTTTAGTTTGAAAATGATGGGCGAAGACCTGGGAACAGCATGTTTGTGCGTGTGAGCCCTCCTTCAAACTGCTTACTGGCTGTTTTTAAATAGATTATTTTTGATGGTTTTGTGGTCCCTATTTATACACTGTTTTGAGGACAAAAGTGGATCTATTACGAGCCGAAAAGTCTTAATAAGTCAAATATTAGATATGATAAATTAGAAGCTGGATTTTAAATTGAAGAAAAATTGGAAAAAGGAGCCGCTCTCGTTCAAACTCAAATGCATGACGCACTACTTCGACTTCAATCTATAAATACAAAATTAGTTTTAAATGAATCTCCTTTCTTTTTTATACGCCGAATAAAAACACCAAAGTCTGGCGCCGGTTTTAATGAAATTGTGTCGTGTTCCACTTTTTCAATCAAAAATTCTATTTTTGGTTGAAAAGGCACTAAATGGACCTACCAAATGACCTAAGAAACCCAGATGAACTTTGGTTTCAATGTTTAATTATTCAAAATGGTCTCCAAAACACTATACTTAGAAAAAAAATGTTAAGGATACATTCAACTACCTTTTAGCTGAATTACAAATTTCAATCCAAGATCAGAAAATGTTGTTCATTTTTTGAAGCATCAAAATGCGTAGTTTGAAACTTATTTTCTATTTTTAATAAGAACCGAAAAACTTAAACCAAATTAAGTTAGTAATTCGTTTATTGTTCAAATATGTTCAAAAATGTTCACAGTCAGTGAAAACATGCGGCCGAACTAAACTCAATTATGGTCGAAAAATGTTGAGAATTTTCGCGAGTACTTCAAACGTGATTTATTCAAGTTGGTTCTTAACTACGTCAAACGAAAGGCAGTACTTAGTTCAAATCTTGTACCAAAACTACTCTGGCACAATTTAAATGAGTTTATTCGAGACAAAAAGTTGGCCATAAAAAACTGGTTTTTAAATGTCAAATGAAATCACTAAGTAATTTTAGTCGAATCTGAGGTTCTTAATATAAATATCATGATTGAACAAGAGCAAAATTAAATGGACCGAAACTAAATGATTTAACCAAAAAATAATATTTTTTTTTCCCAGGAAAACTTTTTTTGCAATGAAGTTATTTTGCATCCTTGGCAAGAAGTGAAGAAAACTCACCCTCTGCAGGTAAATTTGTGGCAGCAAAACAGTCGCTCTCTCCGTGTTTTCTCCACACTTCAGATTCAATTTGAGTGCAGGACTGTCGTCGCCACTACTTGAATTGCTGAAGGAGTCTTCACTTCCTCTTCCCGAAGACGAGCCCGAGTGATGATTGCCCTCGTCGTTTCGGGTTCCCAGAATTCTCACCGCGCCTTTCGGGTACTTGGCCAGTTTGGAGAGTTGGCATCCACGATTTTGGTCCTCATAGCTTGAGTCGGTTTGACAGTAACCCGAGTCGTCCGAGTTGTCGGACTTGGGACTGTTTTTCTCCGATTCGTGAGGTCGGAAAACTTCAGCGGCGTTTGTTTTTGCGTTTTCGGGGTCGGAATTGGTGCGGGCGAAACGCGCGCTGAAGAATGCATTATGCTCAGACTGATATGCGGCTATAAGTTTGGGTATGGGTATGGCTCCGGTAGTTGTTGCCGACGTCTTTTCCTCGGGTTTCGAGGGGATGACAAGTGGCGGCGGCGGGATGGGTATAAGTTTTGCCGAACTGGACGGTATTAGCGAGGGGGGTGCGGGTATTGGAATTGTCAGTGAAGGAGCTGATGTTCCCAAACTGGTTCCCTGGAATTGTATCTGGTTGTACCGATTCTGATACGTCTGAGTTTGACTAATCTGGCGCTTATGGGGGTTAAATGAAAACAAAGAACTACTTGTTGAACTGTGGCTATGCTGGGAAGAACAACTGCTCACTGATGGCGGTGATACCACCACTTTGTAAGCTTGAATGACGGAAGGTATGGACGAAACTGGGACTCGTATCTTAGGGTACACAGTCGAACTGGATGAACACTTTTTGCCCTGCTGCACGAAATTGGTGGTCTGATGATAGGTGTTAGCAGCAGGAGTTGTGGAATTGAATCCGTGTTCCTCGGGAGTCGAAGACGTTGATTTTTTGAACTCTCGACTCTGGACTATGCTGAAGCCTATAAAGAACATCGAACATTAAAGTGTGTCTAAAAAAAATCATCAACTTTCCATTTCAACTTGATATTTTCGTATAACTTTTAAGAAAACGTTATATGCCTTTGAGAACAAAATGGCAGCTACACATTTGGTTTCAAGTGTCTTGAACATGGAACATAGTTTAACAAAATTATCAAATAAGGTCAAGATTTTTCGCAGAACTTATCATCACTGAACTTAAATAAAGTTCTCGTCTCCATCTATTTATGAAAGGAGTGTGCGTTGAACAAATTCACTCTCAATATTTACATTGCAGTTCCTATTAAGTTTAGTGAATTTTATCATAAGAACAGAGGTCAATAGAAGTTAAAATACGCCTCATGCGTACTGAATGATGGAAATTTCCGTGAAGTTGGTCAAAAAAGGGGGAGCGCGTTCCTATACTGAGTTGAGTGCAACGGTTTGACGCCGCTAATGATAGCAGTATGTATCTGATTCCGCTACACACAAAACCCTGGTTCTGAGCGGGCGAATAGTAAAATTTTAGTCATTTTATTACTGATAGTAAATTTCGCTTCCCGCAAGAGGATAAAAAAAAGCCATTTTTCGATAGAAGTTTTAGAAAAGCTCGAAGTATTTGAAAAATCAATTTTCAATACTTCGTTTTTTTTCAATTTGTACCAAAAATATAGAAATTGAGGTCGATAAAAAGAAGAAGTTGAAAGTCTATCTTCTAAAAATAACTCAGAATTTCAAAAATATGGAAATTAGTCAGAAAGCGGTTTAGCGGATTCTTTATTACAGCGATTACCGACTTAGCGGTTTACATTAGCGCTTTCAAATCCCTGGTTCTACGACTAAAAAAAAACATCAGAAGACAATTACCAAAAACGGCATCGGTTGTAAACTGGTATTAAACATTTTCAAAGTCAAAGATACCAAAAAACTTAAGATTCAAAATATTTTGATACCGTTTACGTTGGAATATGAACCGTTCATTAAGATATGTGCAGCTCTACCTTCGTTAAGAGAGATTTTATACCAGGAATCATATCTATCAGCGAGGTAATTGAGAAAGATATGCTCATTAAAAACCTTAAATCACTCATTTCGTAAATGTCGAGCTGTTAAGAAACATTCTTTTATTTAAAAAAAACTTAAATAACATTCATTCAGTAAATGTCATGCTGTTAATTAATTTTGGGCGGAAAAAGTAAAAGACCGAAAATACCCAAAGAGTCAAAATTGTAAGCGCTGAAGAATTCTACTTTTCAATTTCTGTTGGAGGGGCGGAGGCTTTTCGAAAGGAGGTTACACTTGAATTCCAAACAGAGAATTAATCATGATCTCATCATGGACGCTGGGAACATTTCAATTGTTACTCAATCTATAATTACCAGCCTACAATCCCACTCCCTAATCTAAATTTTCCACCTTAATAATGAAGGGAGGAAATGGAAAATTGCCCCTTTGGCCTTGGTCGCTTGATTACTACATGTACGCCGAACCGCAGAACCTAAATAAACGCACCAGCTTGAACTTAATCTTTTTTGCTCCTGTTCAGGGAAAGGGAAATATCCGTCTTTTTTAATAGTCAATTCATCAAAAAAAGTCTGAATAACACTTTCGAAAAAACGCATTGAAATTAACATTAAAAATTTGAAATATTTTAAATATACTTTTAGCATGAAGCTTCAATATTTTCGGTATTTAATTTTTCTTTTCTCTCATTTTAAATTATGCATGGTGAATGCACAAAAAACTGGTATATTTTTTTCAAAAACTGGTACAGGTATGGTACCTGTTTTTATGGTCAAATAGCATTAAAAACGAAAGTCATCAGCGCACGAGGGGGTGAAACGCCAAACTTGAATAATCGCCACTGTACTAAAACTACAATGTTGCCAATTTTACCAAATATATTAGATTTAACAAGATCATTCACCCGTACAGCCGCACTTAACGCAGTACCGAGCCTTTTTTTAACAAACAAAAGTCGATCCAGTTTAACGCGAGCTCATTAAAAAAATTTGAATGCTATATATGAACTTAACAGGCTGAAAAACTGACCACGAAGTCTCTTGACGTCAAAAGAACAGTAAGCGTCTCAGTTTACGTTCAAAAAATATACATAATAAAAATATTAAGAAAAAAACGGTTTATTTTTAAATACTGTAGCAAGTAGCATCAAATCAAATTTTAAAACAATAAAAAAAGATATGTTTTGGCATCGATAGAAACGACAGCACGTTTTTAAATGTCACAAGATTTTGATCAATTTTTATTCGAGGCAGTATTAGCTTCGAAAAATAGATTCATGCAAATACTATAGGCATACCGAACAATGATTTGCAGCTTAAACATTGGTTTTTTTATATTTTTTTTGTAATTTGAAAAATTTTTAACAAAAATTGGTACAAAAATGAAAAAAAAAGTAATCTACTCAATTATATCGATCGGCTGAGCAGGTGATTCTAAACAATATTTATAATTTCCCAAAGACGATGTGACATTAATTAGGAGAATATTATCTAGTTTCGCGAAGCCATGAATGTTAGCCGACGCTCAGGGCTTTAAAAATGACCGAATTATTTTTAGTTAAAATGAACAAACTCACCATGTGTGTTTGATGAGTTCTGGCTGTTGATCATTCTCGCATTCCTTCCATAGACACACTTTTCCTTGGCCATTCCAGCGTCCACACACTTCTGGAAGCGACAAGCACGACACATGGACCGGGTATTCACCGTGACCGGACACTGGTTTGAGTTGGCACACACCAGAGGTCGTCCAGCTCCGTTTTTGATCTTGAGAATCCGGAGGAAGAAGAGTTTACACGACTCGCAAGTGTATGCGCCGAAGTGCTTTCCCGAGGCTCGCCCGCTGCATACTGCGCATTCCTGTTGCGGGTCAGACGGGATGAATTTGTTCCTTATTTTCGGACTGGATTCGGATATGTCCATGCCAGACATACTTGTCGGCGTCCCGGCTGAAGAGGCGGTAGTTGTGAAGTTTAGAGGGGTGTTGGGGGAGAAATTGCTGACCATCGGGTAGTTCTGCTGCACCTGCGGGTAGTCGGATCCGGATGATTTAGGAGGGGTTCGGATTACCAGGGACAGCGGAGTCACCGGTCGCATTTGGGACACGACGGAACTCACGAGTTTAGCAGTGTCTGCCGACAACTTCTCGCTAGTTCGACAACAGGACTCGGATATTTCGTTTTGAATGTCAGTCATCGAAATCAAACTTGCTTCCATTTTAAGTAATTTCTAATGCACAAAACCTAAATTTAACATTTAAGTTACAAAATCTAGACTATTTGGGTGTTGAGTAGAGATTATTAATCTAAGACAGACATACAAGACATGCCAGGAAAAGAGTTCACGGATCTGTTGTAAAATAGGAGCACGTTTTTAAAAACTGGCTAAACTTACTCAGACATCCGACAGTTTGAACTTAATTGCACTGCCTCCGAGGCATTGATAGCGTCCTATTAGTATGATAGCATCCCTTATTATGTCATGTCACTTTCTTATGTCTCCTTAAGGGTAAAAGAAGTTCTTTATCAATGTTGTCGTACCTAATATGTCCGAGTAAATTTGGCCACAATTAGTTTCAAGAGCTAAAAGAGGACCCATCTTCCAAATTTGTCTTTTTGATACCCGTACTTTCGTGGTCAATCATTTTTCGAGGAAAAAAGGAACGGGGTAGGTTACGTGATGTGAGTGCTCACAAATTTGAAGAAAAAAACATCGAGCGAAATATTTCCGTTCCATACCCTCTTTTTTTTACCAAAAACATATTTTTTCTCTACTTGTTGTTACCCAAAATCGAACTTGCTTTGACTAGATTAACAAACACCCATACCGACCCCCGCAATCATTGGACATTATGAAAAACTTGGATTTCCATAGAAATGTACACATACACTCAAGCATACACACACAATTGCGGGAGCATAGTAAGTTCAACTGGGGGTCAAAAATCTAGTCAACAAATTGTGAACTAAATAAAATCTGCTCTCAAGACATAACATACCTGGTATGTGCCACAAACGAGCAATTCAATTCAATATGCAATTCAAATTAGTTCGATCATGAGCAACTATAATGTTTTTATCACTTTGTATGTACTGAATCATCTTGAAACTATACCGCGTGACACGAAGTCATACAATTTGACTCATCTCTTGCGCAAAAAAGAAGCATTTTCAAAACTGAGGCGGGAAAAAAAACTAAAACTTTGAACATTCTTCAATATCATTTTAAAACCTCATAACTTTCAGTTTTTTTGCAAGAAAAATTTGTTTTGTTTGAATTTACTGACCTTTTTAGACTTTTTTGGGCAAGATAGAAACGGTAGAGGTAACTCTTTTTGTAGAAAGACTATGTATTACGTAAAACACAGCAGACAATGTTCATTGCGGGGTTGAGAGAGGGCAAAATAGTTGGGTCGTCAGTGACAGAAAGATATTGAAATTCAGTTTGAATTGTAATTTGCTTTATTGGTATTCCTTTGCTTTCGTAGGTATTACCAAACTGGCGGTTACAAAATAAAGCAGCAAGTAACTACGTAAGGATAAATTGAAGTAAAGAACCGAAATGAAATGTCGTTTAGGTTCATTCGAATAATCACATTTTATACCAGCGGTAAGAACTGCAGCTATATATGAAGAACGGCTTTTCTGAATGTAGCTCTCGTTTTATATGTTTTCTATTCAAGCGGCTAAACGAAGCGCACCTTTTGTAATAGTCGCGATATTTGCTAAAATAGAACTCGGCGAATGAATTGACGATTGACGTGGTTTGCTTGATTGGCCATCGGTAGTTTACTTAACACAAAAGCGCACGTTTTTAAATAGTTTAATTGAGAAAAAAAACGAAGATCTCATTAAGTCGCAACTTTATGGCGGGAAATCCTATGGAATTGCATATTTTTATCTGTCTTTACCTGTAAATGAGGGCAAAAAAAAGTGGGATAAATAAAAGTTGTTCAAGTTTTGAAGTCAGGTAGAAGTTGAAATAATTATTAGTTCCGCCATTTCACACATTAGTTCGGATAAGTTCAAATTGCCGCTCTTTTCTTTTAGAAAAAGCATTTCCTAATGTTTTAACATACGCGAATCCCTGCCGAGAGAAGGTAAAACATAGAAAACGAAGTGTCTGAAAATGAAAAAAAAAGAGAAATCCGAAGGCCGAATGTCATATATGAAGAACTAGAATAGCGGACTCGAAGACCTCTCGTGCTTTGGACTTACGTGTACTCCTTTAAAATTAAACGGTGTCATGTTTTAAGGGAGTCTCGCCATCCAATGGTAATTAAGTTCTCCAAAGTCTGACTGACGAGATGGTATGTTTTAGAACGACCGAAACAGCACACTTCAACTCGGATTTTATTTTACTTCAAAGGGGAACGCAGCGTAGCAAAAGGCCGACTTTTATTGTAAAATAAAATCAGGCTTCGATTGCGAAAAACAAATTGTGAAATGAAATTAAGTTCAATTCCCGCGCAGTTAAAATCTACGTTAGTTGGTAAGAGTTTCCCAGAAATATACAACTCAATTGAAATTGGCCAGTAATAAATCTTTCGAAATCCAAAAAGCATATCTCATTTTCATTTCCAAATTTAGAGATTAGTTTTAAAAAATATATGGCTTGAATTTTAGGTAAGTTTGCAAGCTAACATTAACAAAGTTTTTTTGATTGTATCGGGTTACCAGTTGAGAAGGGGGAATTCAATTAATTGGCTATAAAAACGTGAAATAAAAACGAAGAAACACCTAACTGAGTTAAATTTGTGTTCTCGGGATGTTTAAAGGAAATACATGGGAAAAATTGCTAAATTGTCTAAATTTGTGGCAGATCGAATTCTGCTGTCAGATCCGTCTGCTCAAACTTACACTTTGTCCTACACATTTTAAGGAATTACTAAGATCATACGGGTCTAGGACAACAAGCCGACGGGACTTCAAGCCGAAGGGACTTCAAGCCGAAATTAAAACTTTACAAGCACCCCAAAACGCTTTTTTATCATCTGCAAAATGTTGCTTTTCTAAAATTTTGGCAAGTTAATGCATAATAAGCGTTATTCATGACAATGCACCACTTGTGATTCGCATCCGTTAATAATATCAGCCGGTTTTTGAAATGCATAAATTATAACAATGAAAAATGCCTTCAACCATGTTTTACTTTTCAACTTTCCGGAACATCATTTGGAGGCTTAAATTATATGCAAACGCCAATAACTAGTGAAGAAAGATCATGAAATTCAAAAATTCTTCAAAAAAGTTTTCAAATTGTTCATATTTCACGACTTCATAAGGAATTATTCGGCTTGAAGTCCCTAATTTTACAATTCGGCTTGAAGTCCCGTCGGCTTGATGTCCGGCACCCAGATCATACATAGACTTCTTTGCTACGATTCGGCAGAGAAAGAGTTATAATATAATTCAGTACTATACGTAATACAACATTTAGCCATTCGTATTGTGTCAGTCGCCGGCTATTGTAATTTGGAAAATGATGGCTTATAACATAGTTCAGCTTGTAGCAAAATACCACTTGAGAATGGAAGTTCAACTAGAGGCATACGCTTCACATTTCTCCACAGACGCGATGTATTTAATGTTACTATTCTTGTTGCTAGACGTAACAGCTCCTTAGATGACAAATTGAAATGCTGTTCTATCTTGAACTTGCAAAGTCAACCAGGTTCATTGGAACATTTGACCTTGTGTATGGTCAAAAATACGAAAGAAAACTAAGGGTAAAGGTCGACAATTATATCAAGATCTTCAAAATCGTTTTATTGAAAAACAAAATTTTCTAAAATCAAGGTAAAAAAATGCTCCCTTAAATTGTCACTTTTGAACCCAAACTGCGGAAGGTCAATGAAAGTTGTCAGTTAGTTCATTTCACACCAACTTTGAATTTGATCGATTTAGCTACACGCTTCAAGCCTATGATTGATTTGGATAGATTTGCTTAGCTCTGCGAATAAAATGGTCGATTCTGATTGCTGAAAAACCAAACGAAAAACCACGTTAACATCTTCCCCCCTAAACCGCTTTGGAGGGATGTTGACTTGGGGGAGGTTCTTAACTGCTTTATGGGAGGTTCTTAACTGTTTCGGGCGAGTATGTGAACTGCTTTGGGGGAGTATGTTAATCTTGGTCTGCTTTTTTTGTTGACCCTGTTACCAGGGCTTATACCAGGAGCCTAGGATCAGCCAAAAAATTTGCAAAAAATCATATTAAACGACTGTACAGAGCGTTGGACCAAGATAACATCCCCCCAAGCAGTGGGTAGGGAGGCGGAGGAGGAAGATGTTTATTTGGCTATAACTTGGAATTTTCAGCCAATTAGAATCCAGAGTTTTACATGCACAGCTCAGCAAATTTAAACCCTATCGAATTATCGGGTGGAAGATTTTAATATGATCCCAGAACGTTCAGTACAAAAAACGGCCGAAGTACAAGGGTCCCAAAAATTTTAAAAAAAGTGATAATTACGAGGCCAAACTGTGCATTTTGTGAATTGTAGGCTGATTCCGCAACAGGCAAAATCAGCTTTGTCTCGGAATCCGCAAAATTGCTAGTTTTCTTTGATTTTCTCAGCTGTTTTGGATTCCACGGACAAATAGCTAAAACACTGTATTGCTCAAAATCGCTCCGAAAACAGGCAACTTCTGCGGAATCTGCAACAAAATGTGTGGAATCCGGAACCACTTTGTGGAATCCATGAACAAATAATAATATGTGTTTAATAAACTTAAGGTGTCGCGGAATCCGCAACTGTAAGAGAAATCCGCAAATTATAAGCGGACTCCGCAAATTGTAAGCCAAATCCGCAAATTGTAAGCGGAATTCACTTACATTTGCGGAATTCAATTACATTTGCGGAATCCGCTTACATATGCGGAATCCGGAGCGCTCGTTGCGGAATCCGCAACAAAATCAATATGCAGACAAAAATTACGTTTTAGGTATTTGTACGCGGAATCCACTGAATTTCATTAAGTGGAATCCACTTACATTTTGGAACATGTTTAAAGGCTTGTCTCTAGAATCCAGGAACATACAGACGCAAAATTAGATGCCTATACAGTGAACAATTTTGCCTCGTAATGTTCAAGAGTGCCGAAAATTATTTTCAAAACAGTTTTACAAAAATTGTACCCAATACATAATACTTTAAAGTAAGACAAGATGTTTTGGTCAAAACTTTCCAAAAAGTGCCTAAAACGCCTTTTTTGGCTTGTTTTTAACAATTTGCCTGCAGCGCAGCAACTTCAGCCAAAACAGGCTCTTTTTAGTGATTTTGGACAGCTCAATTTTGGTAAATCAATTTGGTCAACCTAAAAAAAAGTTCGACAAAATTTTCGACATCGTTTTTTTAAATCCGACCAATCCCCCTCGAGAAAATCCCGGATCCGCTCATGTCCCAACCTAAACGTTGCTTACTCGAAGAAAATTGCTTACTCGTTTACACTGCAATTTGCAAAAGGTTTTTGTTTAATTCAGCAAAAAATAATTTTTAATTCCATGACCTAATCATGTGTTTTTGGAACAAGTTAACATCTCCCCCCCCCCAAAGCCGTTGGGATGGGGGGTGTGGAGGGGGCGGATGTTAAATTGGTTCTAAGTTGGGAATTTTCAGCCAATCAGAATCGAGCTTTTTACATGCAGCGTTTAGCAAAGTTAATGCGAAGTAAATGCTGGGGTGGAAGATCTTAACTTGGTCTATCTGAGTGGAGAGGGGTAGGATTATAACTTGATTAGCAAATACCATCTTTACCAATCAGAATCGAGATGAGAAAGCAAATTTACGAAATAAATAGTTATTAATTATTCATTATTTTCTTGTCTCGATTCTGATCGGTTGATACAGCATTTGTCTGCTTACTGACGAGTATGAACACGCGGTTGTCTAAATACTTCTTCGTAACCGTACTGAACGTTGGACAAAGATAACATCCACCAAGCAGTTGCTGCAGATTGTTAATTTGGTTATGAGCTTGAATTTTTAGTCAGTCCGATTTTAGAACTTTTTATACAGTGCTCAGCAAAATAAATCCAAATTAAATGATGGGAACGAAGATCGTAAATTGTTAGCAAAATTTTCAGCACACAAAAAGCTCTAGTACAAAAATGCCGAAATTTTTTTTCAAAATTGAGAACTTAATCCAACAAATAGTTCTCTTTATTAAGAGCAAGAAAAACCAACCTAATTTAAAATTTATCTCAATTTAGCTAAACAAACAAACTCTACTATGCCGGCGTCAGAAAACCTCTGTCAGGAATAAGTTTGCCTGCAATAATTAGTAAATTAATAATAGCAGCACTGCATAGTTTCGGGGACCGATCGTTCAGCAGACCAATCTCTTAGCATAAAAAGGAAAAATTGAGTCTTTTAGCAGACCAGCGTAAAAAAGTGATACATGTTTGATTGACAGACTCAAAATGACGCAAATTCTGGAAACAAGCTTCGCCAATTTAGACAGTTATCCCACGATTTGTCAATAAAACTTTCAACTTCAAAAACCGATAAGTCTAATTTGGGGTCGATACTAAGATTACGCGCACAAAAACGCTCGTTTTGAACTGAGGCGCCGCGGAGCAAGCGGTCGCTAATCGCCAATGCCGCGTTTGAACTTAGCATTCTGACTTCATAATTGTTCAGAGTCTGCTAAAAGATTGGTCTGCTAAAAAAACAGGACTTTTCAGCCAATCAGAATCGAGCATTTTACAAACAGCGCTTAGCAACATTAGTTTGAGTTAAGCGCTGGGGTGAAGGATCCTAATTTGATCTATTGGGGGACGGAGGATGTTTACTTGATCCCAGGAATTCTGGAGGATGTTGGCCTATATTACACAGATAGAAGAATCAAGATATCAAGTAACTAACATAGTCAATACAAACTATTGAAACTGAGTTATGATGCCTACGCCAAGCAAGTATTTGGATTCCAAAATGAAAAATTATTACTAATGAGATCAACAAAAACTTGTACACTTCATCAGAAATAGTTTGCTTTGTTGGCTCCCCTTGTTACTTTTTGTAATCGTTTTTTGTTTTAAAAATCTGCCATGTATAAGGTCTGTGAGTTACAAAGAGGTTTTCTAATCA